CCCCCCCCCACATACTCTACACATAAAATTTTACCAAAATAGGGCATTCCGAACAGGAAAAATACGAATAATCCTCGGCGATATCATGAATGAAATTCCGAACAGCATAAAAGCCCCCAAATCAGCCTAACCCAAGTACAAAAAAATAGAAAAGCAAGACAGCTTTCCTCCGCCCACCCTTCCTTCAAACTTGATCCGTTAGAATTCGGAAAATCGTTCCTCGATTTTGGTTGAAGAGAGGAGAGGGTGGCGCCGACGCAGCGATTTAAGCCCATTGTGAGTACCGCCGGCGAGAGAGAGAGAGAGGAGGATAGAGCGAGTAAGAGGGAAATAATAACGACCCCGACGTCGCAGTGCTGCAGAGAGGTTGACGACCCGACGCGAGGCGACGCCCTCTCTTTCCTCCGGGGGTTGCCGAGGTATCCAACTCTTCCAATTCCCTCTCCCGACCCTCCTTTCATCAGACAACGCGCCGCCGCGTAACAGCATACACCATATCACCCCCTTTCCCTCCTCTTTCACCCTCCCCTCACCGACAACTGCAAAATTGTACGGCCCTGCGTATCCTGCGCGGCCCACGGCCACCCCCGTCTCACTCTCGCTCTCTCTCCCTCTCTCTCTCTCTCCCGCTCCTGTCGACGTCTAGCCAGGGTCGGGGTCATTGAACGTCGATAAAGATTTTGGACTCGAATATATAAACCCTTTACTGCAGAAAACGTGGTGTTGTGGACTATTGGTTGGACCCACAGAAATTCAACCCTCTTCATATCTATAATAGGGAACTTGCGTGAATTTTTTTTCAAATTTCTAATCTCAAGTTTCGGACCTGAATAATCCATTTTTCATTCACAAACTTTCGAAATATTACTCGTTAATTAATAATTCATTGTTGAAAATCGAAGATTTCAAACGCTTTGACATCGCTGACGTCACACAGACGGTCGAGCGCTGGGCCAATCACAGAAGCTTGAGGCGACCTAACCCAATATTGAGGTGCGCCTCGGCCAATGGAGGACGACAACTCCCCACTCTCTTCACACTCTACCAATGAAGCGTTACCTGACCGTCTTCGTGACGTCATGAGCAAAAAAATGGTCTCGAGAACGACTGATTTTCAATTAATTATCATAAGACATCTGGGCAATATTTCTGCATAATTTTCGCTGTTTAGCTATTCATATGTTATAAGGAATGTGTTAATACGGGAATTGAGCTTCATGCAAGTTCCCTATTATTTTAATGTCATCGTGGGCCAGGGGAGAGATTAATCTGAATTAGGCGGACGAATTTGGGAGGTTTATGGAGACAATTTGTTAATTACGCAAAGAAAAAAATCTGTAACTCAGGGGGATTAGGCTGATTTGATAATGCCAACAGATTATTGCAGGAGTTTACGCGTTCAATATTACGTTGTCGCTGATAGGTTGCTATTAGCGACCTCAGACTTGTCACAATGCAAGTTGATTTTTTTCTGAGCGGACTGACGTTTGTGCATGGATAAAAAATTGTAACTGCACTGAGATAAAAGTTTTAGTTTTTAGGGATCAATAAATTAAATTAAGATATTCTTGAGACTGCACCTAGAAAAATGGTTTATTTGAAATGAATAAACTTGATTTGAATAGAATAAATCCTCTATTACAATTCAATAAACGATTTATTTGATTTAAATAGAGTTTATATAATTCAACTGAACCATTTTTCTGCGTGTAGCTGGAGTGAGTGAGTTTTGTCCCTTGATTTAAGTGACGGGGTCCTTAGCATCTAGCACTGACAGTAGGAACGAACTCAGTGGATTTCAGAACTCTTCCCTCGTCAAATTTCATACGCGTGGGACCTTGAAAATTAGGGAAAGATCTTTTAGAACTGAAACTTTTTTTTCTGCTGTGGGGCGTCTTCGCTTGGACCCACGCAGGTTCAATCTGTTCACATCTATAATTATTTTGACGTCACCGTGGGCTAGGGGAGCGATTAATCTGTATCAGATTAATAAATTGGAGAGATTTATGGTGACAATTTGTTAACTGCACTTTTAGAGAACCATTGAAATTTCAGATTTCAATGAAATTCTCAATTTTCAAACTGCAGAAAAATGAGATTTCCTCAATTTAATTGAATTTTTAATAGATTTGTTTCTGTGCGTACTCAAAACTCACATGTAAACCTCTGGCTGAACCCAATAGTGTCAACCTCCCCTACATCTACAATCATTCTGTCGCAACCGGGAGCCGGGGGAGAAATTAATTTAAAGCAAATTAATAAATTCGGGGAATTAATGAGGACAATTCATTAATTACGCGCAGAGGAAAATGTATACCCCACAGGAAAAAGCCGGATTTCTTCTCAACAATGCCTCGATAAACCGTAACTGAAATCCTCGATACAACAAGTGATAATTTGATACTGTACAAAAGAAGTGTATTCTAGGCTGAAGGCCCTCGGGCAATGGCCATTTGTAAGCATGTATGTTTTTTGCAATAAATAGCGTTAAAAGTTGACTACAACAAGTGAAACACTGAAACAGCCTTAGCAATAAATATTTCTCTAATTTCTATCACTTGTCATGGAATGGTTGAACTAAAATTCACAGTTTCCATAAATTTTTTCACCAAATCGTGAATTTTCAATGACAAAACGCCTTAAAATTGCAGCGGAATTGTCACTTTCAAAACGTGTACCAGAAATGTCAATCAAAAATTGTTTACACTGTACAAGTGAACTGAGCCAGGCGAGAGATTGATTTAAATCAACTGAATAAATTTGGGGAATTCATGACGACAATTCGTTAATTACGCACAGAGAAAAATGTATACCTCACAGGAAAAAACCCGATTTCATCTCAATAATGCTTCGATAAGCCATAACTCAAATTATCGATACGACAAGTGAACCACTTCCTGAAACATCCTTAGCAATAGATTTTTCTCTGTCCAATTACGGGTGAAAGTTATTAGAAAAAAAAAAGTTTAGAGTATTTAAAATTAGTGTGTGTTTGCTCAAAAATATTGTAAACTCACCATTTCAAATAGACCCGCCTTCATCTAAAAAATAAAAGAAAAAAGAGAAAAGGAAAATTAAAAAGTTCTTTGCTCCATTAGATATTGAGAAGATGAAATGATGAAGCATTTGATGTTGGACGATTACAAACTGGAATTGGCATGAGAACGATTGGATGACATCTATGAACTGATGATCGACATTTTCATGGGGTACAGTTTTTCCGTCAGCTCGAGAGAAAAAAAATGCAGCGTCGCATCCCCGGGAGGGCCGCGCCTGCGACGCCCCAGGGTCAGAGGTCATTGAACGGGAGTAGGAACGGGTAAAGATTTCGAGTTGGACGCAGTACAGTGCCGATGCCCCTGCGGTAAACGCCAGAAGGACCTGCCCCACCCGTACTCGTTCCCTTCATCTCAAGGGGTTATACTGTAGACAACTACCCCCGCCTCTCCCCCTCCCAGAGTTTTATTTTTTCCTCCTCCTGCATAAGGAAGAAAGGAGTGGAGAAAAAAAATACATGAAGACAACACAGGCAAAAAAATGTGGGGAGGCTTCCAAATCCAGAAACATCGAGGCACTTTTTTCTGTGGCCACCACTCTTTGGATTGTTTCCAAAACGGCTGAAATATTAACACGAAAGCCTAAAAAATGGCCTACAGAATTTTCCAACCCACTAAGAGTAACAGAATGGAGAAATTTGTTAAATGGGTTGAGAGAAATATCCGGAATTATTCACAAAAATTAATGGAGAATTACAACGAAATTCGTTCTTTTTTAGTCTTGGTGTCGTTGGAATTATACGGAAGGACTAGCTGCCCCCCCCCCGGCAACGGACAATTCTTTCCATCTAAAAATTTTCAGACAGTTTTTGGAAATTCTGAAGTTAAGGGAAAGCTCTAGATTTTTTTGAAATTTCATCCCTAGGCGAAGCGATTTTTTCACTTGAAAAATATTCTATCATTTTCGAGAAAATTCCACCACGTGCACTCCCTTGGAAAGAATACGTATTTATTTATTTTCAATGTAGAGTCCTTTAACGAATTTTCAGATGTCCAATTTCAACGATTTTCTAAAGTATAAAAAATTTGCAGGTTGTTCATCTCTTTAGGGGATGAATTATTAAAAATCGTTCGTTAAAGGGTGGTTACGTCACTATAACTGTTGGTTGATACTTCAATTACCTCGGAAATAGCTTGTCCCCCCCTCCTTGCGTTGTCCACGAAATTCCTCGAATCAAAAAATTTCGAGATTTTTAACAAATTCTGAAATTGTCCCGAAGGTTTCACAAAGTTCCAAAATTGAATCATTGGCCGAGTCGATTTTTTTCTTTGAAAAAAATTCTATCTTCCCCTAGAAAATTCAAGGAATCTACAAAAATTCGAAATTTCCAGAATCCGTTTCTTTCCACCCCCTCAGAGATTGATTTTTTTTTAACTGAAAACTATGTATTTATCAATTTTGAATGTAGAGTTCACATGCGAATCTTAAAAAAAGTGCACCCTATTCACGCCCTTAGACGCTGCATTTCCAAGAATCCTTCGTTAGTGGGTGGTTACGTCACGAAAGAACTAACATTGACCAGAGCAAAGAGCTGATACAAATTACCTCCATACTGTCCTTAATGATCGATTAAAATTATGTGAACGTGCCAATAACAAGTTCAAAATCTCCTACCAAACCTTCCACGATTGATCAATGGGAAATAGTGATTTGCACATAAATTCCGTGGCGCACGTCCTAGACCATGAATTCGCGCATGCACCTTTCGAGGGGGTGTTGAGGGTTGTGAGGAGAGGGAGTAGTGAGGTATGAAGGGCTAAGGGGAATTGATAGTAACGCAGCCTACCCCGTTGAGACACTGCAGACCGCACCGAGCCACTCCCTATGCGTCCCAGAATCGTGAATTCCTCCCTCCTCACCTCAAAATCCTCACATATACAGCATTTTGATGGTTGTATGGGTGATATCCGATGTAAACGATAATCCCAACCAGTAAATGGCTGACAAGAAGGATACCCCAAGATCGATAGTGCAAGTACATGATTACAATGCAACGTCAACTACTGTGATTTCAGTATTATCTGAGTAAAGCTAATGTTTGATGATGAAATATTGATATTTTTGCTCACTTTGCTGAAGTAACCGACGGTGTGACAGCCCTCGGAGTCGTTGATTGTCATTACGTAGAAGAGAAAGGGCTCGACGTCGTAGTAGAGGGTCTTGTGGTCGAGGAAAAATTTCGCCAGAAGACAGAGGTTCTGGCAGTACTGCTTGTACCGCTTACCGTCCACTTCCCACACGCCAATTTTGTCTTTTCTGAAAGTGAATTAATGATTTGGCGAATCGTAAGTGGTACCGGATGGCGTCAATAATTTAGGGTATCATTGAAATGTTCGGAGCGGGTAATTCGTTAACACTGGAGTATCGGGACTATGTTATGCTAGAGGAAAAGAGATCACTCTCAGAATTCCAATTTAAATGGATTTAATTTGATGCTGTGGTTTTGAATAGAACAAACTCAATCCCTCAAGTTTGAGGGCCCACTGAAGTCAAATGTGAAGTAAAGAGAATATAAATTGGGAAGAAGCTGAAAAGTTAACTGTGGTGAAATGCTCTTGTCCGAGTCTCAGAAGAGTTTACCTTAGTTACGCATTTTTCAATTTCAGCTGAGATAGTACTTTCTTGTGAGAGGAATTGAGTTTGTCTGTTTTGAACTACAACATTGAATTGAACCTATTCGATGTGGCCTAGAGAAAAAAGCATAACTCGGAGGAAGGATTCAAAGAGGTCCATCTCAGAATTCCAATTGTGATTAATCTCACCTAATATTGATGGTCTTAAAAAGTTCAAACTCAATTCCTTCCACAAAAAATCGAACTTAATGTTGTGGTTTTAAAAAGAACAAACTCAACTCCTCCCACAAGAAAGCGCTATCCCAGTTGAAATTAAAAAATCAAGTGAAAACTGAAGAGAAACTCAAGGGAATCCTTAGAAAATACGGCTCAAGAAATAATACTTTGTTATATAGTTTAGGAATTCTTACAGTTTCAATGGATTTCTTGATACATGTATTTACGTAGGAGGACCGTAAAATATTTCATACACTCTTTACTTACGCAGACTTCATTGTATCATTAAGTTTGAGAGTTCATTGAACGTCAAATGTGGAGTAAAAATAAAACAAATAGGGAGGGAGCTAAAACTGACACTCAAGAACAGTTTACCCGAGTTATGGCTTTTCAAATTTCAGCTTAGATTACACTTAGCTCGTGGGAGAATTAGAGTCAATTCTTTTTGAACGACAACATTGAGTTCGATCTATTTGAATTAGAACTCTGAGATATAATGAGTATGATAGCTTCTATTATCATCAAATAGTTCACATGGAATGTCATAGAATGTCATGGATGATTGAACGGAATGAGAGACATCGTTTCAAACATTATCCATATTTAATATTTCATTAAGCCCCATAGACAGGTGATGACATCAATAATTCAATTCATTAGTCAATATTTTGAACGAAAGATGATGAATGGATGAGTACTTGACATAAAAGATTGACTGGACAGCTGACGATAGAATATTTTCACACTTTTGTTTAATATTATTTCAGTGTCAATACTGTTTAATGCGGGATTAGAGTTCATAGTCAGGACGCGATGCCATCAATAATTTGATTCATGATCACAATTTAATTCATGTTGATGCCCCTTCATTATGCCCTTTTTCCTGTCAAATTTTATATTCCTTTTGTCAATTAATTGTTTATAGTCATTCTCATTGCAAAAACTAATACGACCGATGAGAATCATGTCCCAATTGATACAATAAATGATTTGCTCATGTTCAAATTCCTATGCTCACCGAATAAGATTTTAATTATAATTGCAATTCAAGTTCTTCTAGAATACACTTTAGCATGTGAATTTCTCTGCGAACACTGTTCACACGGTAATTCAATTAATCTGTTGTTGTTCATCTTATCAATATAATTCCGTCCTAGAATATTGTCATTTCGTATTTTCAGCACCAAATTAAAAATTAAAACCTAATTTGGAATATTAAGTCACAGCTTCTTTTACTCATATCAGAAATTTTGTAGTTGGATATTGATATTATTTGTGCAACATGAAAAAACAGATCATCATTTTCACTATCTTGCATACAGATTGTCCTATCCTTAACGTAAAAAATGTGAAACAATGTTATAATTCTGATTATTAATTCCAATCAACTCTGTTCAATGAAAACATTAGGAAACGCAATATTAAAAAAGAATTATTCTATTTTCCTTTGACCTAAATGCATTAGACAAGTATGATTCGTTTATGGATGTTTCATAGAATGCACGGAGAGAAATATTCAATAAAATTTACGTATCTAATTCCAGAGCGAAATGTAGTTGTAGGAAATTTGACGGAACTGTCACGGAATTTTTCCAGAGCGTTCCGTACTTTTCATCTGAATCTCAAATGTAAAATTACGATACCGTTACTTAAATCTTCTGAGTCGATTTCGTAATCGGTGAGCGAATTGTGAGTTCCGTAATTTTTACTGAACATTTCTTTCCGTGTGGTATTCAATTCTCTTTTGTTTGTTAGACGGGCTTCATGAAAATTCGACGCAAGGCGATTCTACTCATGAAAACGGCCATACTTTTTCCATTCTTTCAAGATATCCACATTCGAGTTCTCATTTTCGATTTGAAATATTGCCCATGTTTTTTTTTCAGAAAAAATTCAGAAGTTTGAGTGAATAAATAATAGAATGGAAGACTTTATTTATAGATCTGCATCGGCTTACCTGTAGACTTCATGACCCGGTGGATGCTTCCAAATACACTTTTCTCTGTGCCTCCTCAAGACTTGCTTACTCTTGGCGTACCTCAAGCAGAATTCACACAAGTAGAGCTTCGGGGCTCGGCTGAACTCCTCGGGATATGGACTCTGATACCAAACTTCCATCTCCCATTTTCCCATTTCTACGCACTTTGTGCCACCCCCATTGCGGCCCTCGCCCTCATAGTCAAGGTCTTTCAGCTCTTTCTCCTGTTTAATTGAGTTTAGAAGGATTAATTTGTAGAGCGAAGAAACTCACAGGAGTAGATACAAAATTTTTGTTTGTTGAGTAGAACCGATGACATGCATTGCGAATGCCAAGAGGTCGTTGTTGCAGCTCAAATGGGACGATAGGATCTTTTGGCTGTGGTAGAGGTGATAGTGGCATGGCTGACGCCGAGAGATCGGATCTGCAGTTGCAATCGACAGATACAATCTCTTGGCATTTCACGAGGGATAAAACATGGAGGACAAATCGTTCTTCATGCTGGATTATTGATTTCGTTTCATTTTTATTAGGATGTTTTATTAGTTGCGAGTGATTCTGTTTTGCACGATGTTTTTGCTTCCAAATGGACGCTTTGTATTTAAAAAATTTCGACATTTTCTCGGAAATGATGTAGAATGTTATGAAACATGTCTCTACATATGCGCGCGACAATTTTGGTTTTATGTGACTTATTGTTTTTGAAAATCGTTGATTAAAATGGGAAATTTTGGCATTTGATAGCTATGCTTGAGCTTAACTTTGGCGCATTTGGCGAATTTGAAAAAAATTGACTGATTCCTCAGACATAAAATCGATAGAAACTCCGCATAAATAAGTTTTTCAATATTTCAATAATATTTAATTGAAAAGTGAGGACATTTCACCTGAATTTCAATTTTTTTTTAATTCTCACGAAATTAAGCGATTTTTCAGTTAAAAAATCCATCAAAATTTCACATGAATTATTCTTTACTAAATATTTCAAGAGTTAACACGTGGAATTCATAAAATTATCCACCACCAATGAATAATTTCAAACGAAATTGCTGAGCACATCAAATTGAAATTTAAGTTCTCATTGAGTTTCCATAAAATGAGGCGATTTTACCGTCACAAAATCTATAAAAATTCCATATCAGTCTGATTGTTATCAAATATTTCATGAATTTTCACATGGAAATTATAAAAGTATTCATTACTTTTAATTCACCCTTTAAATCTCACAGTAAAAAGAAATAATAAATGAGAATTACTCACAATTTTTTCACTGGCAAGTGCCTGTGCCTCCATGAACAATTTTAGATCGTAATCGGAAGTGAGACCGGTCAACCGAGGCTGTCGATCCTTTTCAATCCCAGGGGGTTCACCCCCACTATCGCTATCATTGCCATCCCCATTTGGTCGGCTTCGTTTCGACCTCAAGTCTTTGACCTTTAATTGATAGTGCCTTTGATCATTGGTCTGGTGCATCCCTTTCGGTGATTTTTTTCCTATATTCATCAACGCTTTTTTACGCTCATCCTCACGTTTCTTCCGTTCTTTATAAAAGTCCCTACACAAATAAATGAAAACGCAAATGAAAGCAGAGGAAAACAGAATGGAATTATTCGAGGGATTTTGATTACAAAGGAGAACTTACACACAAGCCTGTGGTGTTGTATTATGATACAATGGACACGCTTCAAGTGTGAAATGCATATCAAATTTCCCTGATAAGTGTCCAAAAGACTCGCATGTTGCTGCCAGAGGGCATTCTCGCTCTTTGACTGAGCGCGATCGTCCTGTTGTACTCTGTGATCCTCTTCCAGAACCACCTGAGCTATGAGTGGTCCTTGATGTTGCTGAAGAGTGTCTTCCTGCCGCTCGTTTCACAGGAGATTTACTCGTGCTCCTCTTCACATCCACTGGAAAAAGGTTATCAGTTATCAATTTTAATTCATTTTGTCAATCCAGCGGGAAAAAAAATGTTGAATCAAGAATATCCCACTTGACTGAACAAAAAAACGAAATAGGTTAAATAACGGAATGCTGGAAGAATTTAAATAATACTATTTTATTATTATCGTAATTAATATCGTAAAAAACGAAATTAAAAATTAATCATTTAAAGATCCACGGCAAAAAATACTCTTAAAATTTAAAAAGAAGAAAGCATCCTATGGAAAAATAATATAATTAACATAAAAAACTCGTTATTAAATTGTGAATTTAAAAATTCCCCATTCAAGGATTGACTTTGAATTGAATTCCCAGATTATGTTCAATTTTCACAATGAAATAAACAATTTCGGTATTTAAAAAATTCTATGTCGATGACTTTAATATGAAAATGAATTTTCAACGATTTGACTCACAATATTAGAAATTCGCATGCAGATGTCTCGAAAATTTGAAAAAAATTCCCACAATGAATTTTAACTCAACGAACTGACGTATTTATAATGTATTCATTCATAAATTTTTAGGGAATTCATATTTTTATTTGAGATTATTTTTATCACGGAGCGGACGATTGATTAGATAAATGATAAATTCTCACCTGTGTCAGACTCTGAATCACTTTCTTCCTTAATCTGAGATTGGATTAATTTACTGCCTTTTCTCGGAGGTATTTTTTTCTTTCCTTTCGGGGACGTCGCCATTGAGCTCCTCCCAGGGGGCTCATCCTCGTCTTTATCACTCTCTGTAGCATCATCTTCACTCTTTATCACTGCAATTGCAAAAGATATATGCTCTTCAATTCGATTGCATGTCATCGTCGTATGGCCAAAGGGGCGTATTCGATTTTCATTCCAGTCTACTGAGAAACTAAAAACGTTTGAAATTAAAAATGATTGTTTATTTTCCAAGACAAACCTGGCCGTTTTGTATTTTTCTGTGGCTTCACAGCAGCCACAGCCACTGAAGGTCTTTTGGGAAGTGCACTGGAAGCATTACTCGACGAATGTGTCTCCTTTTTCTTCACAGGTGGCTGAGGACTGGGGGGACTGTCAGACGAGTCAGAGTCTGAGCTACTATCAGAGGAACCTGAGGATCCTGAACCACCGGAGCCCCCTGAACAGCTCTTCGAGCTCGCTGAACTCTCAGATTTTATCTGTTGCCTTGTAACTAGACCTGAGGGGATACAAAATACGAAATTAACTCGATCACACGAGTACGATCTACATTAAACGTACTGAAATACTAAAAACAATTTTTCAAAGTTCGTTTATTCATAATATTTAAGTACCTGTTACATCGATTTTCAATAAGGAAATTTGTCAAATATATCCTATAGACAATCAATTTCTAAGTTTAAATGAAATGAATTTTTTTCAGATGTAGGTATTGTTGAGTCCTATTGTTCGCCATTAATTAAAATTTAATTAATCGATTGGTTGTTTAATGTTTGAATTTTTTTGAAAATAAAAATTCCGGAGATATCTCTGAATATCATGTTTTAAATGACGTCGATCATAGCTAAAAATGTTTGTTTTAATGCTCTTAAGGCGAAGTTAAATATGATTACGATAGCTATATTGGTTGATTTGATTTTTATGATGATTGTTGAAAATTTTGAATTGAAAGTGAGCTTTCCGATGATTTCTTCAAATGTGATGTTTCGAATTCATTCAAGTATGTGTAAATAAAATTTTTCTATCAACATTTTCTCGAAGGGCTGAGGGGAGTGATAGAACTGTAACAATTAAACCCAACTGTTGAATTGATTATGTGCACTTTCTCGAACTATTAATGCAAACGATGACGTGAGTCAAAAAATTAAGAGAGTTTATTGTGTCTAATAGGTCATTTTTATTAACACAATCGACTATAACACATAAATAATCTCCAACAACTCCTCGTTCCCAAAATAATGACCAAATATTATTCCCAAATATATCTCGTTTGTTTACTCACTGGGTCGATTTACCGGTGGTCTGGGTTTCGATTCACTGCCCTTGGGCTTCGGAGGTGGTTTCGACTTGGTAACGTTGCCACTCCCCTTGACACTCGACTTCGGAGGAGACGGACTGTCGCTCTCACTGCTATTCTCAGGACTGAAGATGCTCTTCTTCTTCAATTTCTTCTGCACAGGCTCAGAAGGAGGTTTCCCCGATTTATCCGACATTTTGCCAGCATTACCACCACCCCCAGAACCCTTATTCCCTTTGTTATGCAGTAATTTGGAAGCGAGAGCATTCTTATGCTGCTGAGACGGGGCATGACTGGCTTTTCCGGAAGGTCTCTGGGCCTTTATCACAGGAGCAACAGTAGCTGTTGCCTTCGGCTTCGTCGGAGGTTTCCTCTTCGCCGAGGGTTTCGATTTAGTCGGGGATTCCTCGGACTCTGAGGAATAAACAACTGTTGGACGAGGCTTTGGCGCTGATTTCTCTTTAATCTTCGTCTCAGAGCCTCCAGCAGTCGTTTCAGCCTTCGATTTTCCATGTCTATTGGCTATAGGCTGTGCTTTCTTCTTATTCCGCTCTGTATCCGACACTTTTGGACTCCGAGCTGAACTACTTGAGTTTTCGGAATCAGAGGAACTGGATTCACTTCCCGAACTCGAGGAACTGCTTGAGGAAGAACCTGAGGAGCTCGAGGATGTCGATTCCGAGCTTGTGGTCTGTCAATTGAAGACATTTTTTTTTAGGATTTTCAGCCGAAGACTCAAAAAATGCAATCAAAAAATTTTTGATTCATTTTCCAAGTCACTGATTGAGTTATGGGGATGCAAATTTTCATCCACATTTCATTTCATTTTATTTCATCAGAACATTATTTTTCAGTACTCGATTTTTCAATCAAAACATTAATTTCAGTGAAAATTCAAGGTTTCCCTAATTTTTCTTGATTTCTATTAATTTCCGTACGAAAATTGAACTGAAATTTACAGTTCCCATTCATTCATCTCTTTTACGCTGAACTTCCAATTAATTGAAAATTCACGAATATGTTTCCCTGAATTTTCCTGATTTCTAATAATTTTCGTGGAATAATTGCATTGAAATTTGCAATTCCCATTCGTTTTTCCATGAAATCCCTTGAAATTTCAGGGGAACAATAATGTAATGAAATTTTTTAAAAGTGTAGCAGAAATTTCAGCCAAAAATTTTCAACAGTGTACCTGTCCGAGGCACCACAGATTTTCCCTTGGCCCTTGGATTTAGTATATTTCTTTATGTTTGACTTACATTACCCCGTGTATGAGAAATAATTTGATTATTTTACAATATCAAACCTCGTGCATCTAATTTTCCTTAATTATCAGGAATATTGGTTTGAAAGATCTCATCATCAGTCTAAAGAAATATATAATTTTTCTCGAACATGAAAAAATCTACTTCTTAAAAAATAGATGACCATTCTTAAGAATATTCCCATGAACCAGGTTTGAAGCAGTGAACAGAGCCAGTTGACCAAACTCCTGTCAACTAAATTGTCAGTTAAGGAAGAATGTTAAGTTTTGCAGTTCAACTGAGGCAGTGAAGTATCAGAATAAACAAAAATAATCTGCCAATCAATTTTGATGGAATGTTCATCGAAGATGTTTCACCAAAAAAAACACTATTTTCCAATAATACCACTAATTATGAATCATTTAATCGATATTTACGACAGAATGCCCGACTGAAAACACTCTACGACGAATTCCTAAAATTGTCTAATTGTGGAATAAATTTACTCTAGACATAAATTTATTCTGATGAATTTCTCTCGTCAACAGAGCTTGGTGCAACTGGTTCACAATCGATATGCAAAACCGAATGGCTATATAAAAGCACCCCTAAACGAATTTCTAAAACCCTCCAACCACGGAATAAAACAACTTCTAACATGAATTTATTTCGTAAACAGGGCTTATTGCAGCCGACCCTTAACGGTTTATTATTTAGAGCCACGAGGAAACTCTTTTTCATCATATTAAACTAATACTCCAAAAATTGGTCAGTAATGTTTGTAATGTTTGTATACAATGTCATCGGGGACATAACCAAGAAGGATTTACAGGTGCTCACCTTTCGTTTCGGCGTCATTGTTGATCCTCTGGGGAATTAACTGTCCTCGATGCTCTTTTCCCCCTTCGGTTATGTACACTGCATTGTTTTTAAACCCCTCAACCCCCTTATTATCATTAATAAATGGAGATAAATATTGAAGGACAGGAGATTCTGCAGTTCCCACAACACTGGGGGGTGAGAAATTCCATTGACGTTAGGGGGAGTTGCCTTCAACTCCGGGTGATGTCGCCACTTGTCAAAGTCTAGTTGACACGAGCCAGCAGTCATTGCTGATTTGAATGAGAGACAGAGCTGTCGTCTGTTTACTTCTGCCCTTTGGGGTTTTTAGACTCTAGTATTCTTCGGTGTTTTTACCGTTTTTGAGAGAAGAAGGGAGTGGAGTGAGGTTTGTTGAGAGTTAATGGGTTGTTGATAATTATTTGGGGAGGTTCTTTGTCTCGGACATTGTTTATCATTTTCACGTGGCGCAGGTATGTATTTGTTTTGATTGTCTTGCATGGAAAAATAGGACATTTTTTTGTAAATTTATAGTGGGTTGTTGCTCGCTACTTAGCGAACTCCATTGACGTTTTTTTCTGGGTGACACAGTATTAATGTAAATAAAGAAGTTTGTAGGGTTTGATAGAATAACAAGGATTGAGTTCTGCTCGAGCAATAATAAAATGCACAATTTGCATTGTTTTTCTCGAAAGACCTTCAATAGTTCTGCAAAACCGAAGGAATTCAGTTGTCTTCTGGAACATTGAATGATTAAGGGAGAGTGGGATAAAACGACCCCTTTTGACTTTTTTTGTGATACTCATAACTCAGAAACAAATTCATTAATTGAGATCAGTCTAGGCGCATTTTAAACGGGAAGAAGCGTAGTTTCTATGGAAAAAAAATTATTTCATTTTATTTGAAATTGAATGAGCTGTTAACATTTTTGAAAAAATCAAAAGAGGCCGTTTTACCCCACTCTCCTCTAATTCTCCTTGTTATAGCAATTAAACAGAACGAACAATGATTGGGAGACGCAGGGGCATCTCAGATCTACCAGAGCAGTCTCCGTATAAAAAGATGCGACGACGAAATACCGCTGAACAGGAGAGTCAAGGGGAGTTTCCCTCAAACTCAATTGCTGACAAATTAGTGAGTATTTGGGAAGTAGGAATCAATGTCCCTGCAGTAATTACTTACGAACTATCATTTTTATCTTGTCCCCGTTTTGCTGGAAAGGTTGGGACACCAAGGAAACTTTCCTTTTTTGACTATTCATGGGTCAAAAGTAAAGTTATCAATTCAGCTCAGTTTAGAGGTGTCAGGAAGGGGAAGAATTCTACTTTTCACGAGAGAAAATTATCCCATTTCACATTCGCAATTTGTTGAATAATCAGGAAAAAATGAATTTGAAAGGGATTTAATTATTTCAACAGCGAAATAGTAAAGGGAGATAAGTCAATTTTGACTATTGACCAGTTTTCAATCAATATCTCGGAATCTAAGGGAGATAGCGAAATTTTTGTTACAACGTTTTTTGTGGAGCCGATTAAGTGCTACAACAAATGTAATTACGAAAATTTCGCTATCTCCCATAGATTCCGAGATATTGATTGAAAACTGGTCAATAGTCAAAATTGACTCATCTCCTTTTACCACTTCGCTACTGATTTGATTATTCATTAATCAATGGATCTACCTGAATTGTCCTACAGAGTGCTGACGCTGTTAAGCTCCAACAGATTGAAGGGAAATTTGCAAGTCTCGAAAAAGCCAATAATGATCTGCAGATGAGACTTGCGTTATCAGAAGCCAAGGTCGCGAAGCTAAATAGTGATCTGATGAACAAGTAAGTAGACTTATCAAACTAATCGTTGTCAACTAGATAATCTTCTATCTTCATTATTCAGAATGACGACTGTCTGGGATTACAAGAAGAGCATCACTGAAACCATCAATTATGTGACTGAAGCGATGGAAGACTGTCAGGGGTACAATGAGCATCTTACTTCTCAGTATAATCAAGTGGTGGTGAAGCTGTGCGCAGACAATGAAACTCTGAAGACTCAGGCAGAACGTCATGCGAAAGAGCAGGTCCAACATGGTAAAAACCAAAAAATTGATTCCCTGATAGATTGAATTGTTGCATGATTTTTTATCAGTTGAAAAAAATGAATTGATTTTATTGTTATATAAAAAAAAATATTCATCCTTTGATAGCTAAGGTAGTTCACCAGCTCTCCCAAAAAGAATCGGAACTTGTTGAAGTGAAATCAAAGTATCAGATCCTCCACGTTGAGATTGAGAGCTGCAAGAAGAAACTGCAGCGACTTGGGGAGGGCGAGAGATGTCTCCAAAAGAGCATCCTTGAGCTTGAAGCCACTGCTGGTGAAGAGAAAAGGAGATTGGAGTCGATGTGTGCAGTTGAGACCGAGAAATTGAGTCAGCAAGGTCATCTCCATGAGATTGAGACACAGAAGTTCCTGAAGGAGATTGAAGAGCTGAAGGAGAAGTCTATGAATCTGCAGCATGAAAAGAACGATGTTGTTCGGTTGGTGGCTGAGAAGGAGGCGGAGATAAAGAGTTTTGAGCAGGCTGTCGATCATTACAAGTATGATTGAAATATTTCACAACTCGTCTGAACTTTTTGAAAAACTTTGATTGATTGTTAATGAGAACTTCTTATTGATATTTTTTTGTGTTTCAGAGTAAATGTAGAAGAATTAAAGACTGAACTGGCTGAGAAAACTGCTCGTTGTCAGCGTGCGGATGACGAGATGGTGAAGTGCGAGGGTGAAATGCTGGAGAAAAATAAACAGGTTGATATTTGATTAGATTCATGAATATTATCTTGATAGCTTAATGTGTTAACATGCATTGTATTCATGAATTTATTTTCCTTCTAGATCTCTCAACTTACACAACAACTTGAGACTATTCAACTCGACTTATCAAGGATGGCAGCTGCTTTAGCAAGTGTGGAGGAGGCCAAACGTGACTTAGAACGGGAGATTGCGATGAAAGAACTTCAGTCACAAGAGACACAGGCGAAGTGTGGTCAAGTGGAGACAGAATTGAGAAGACAACTGGCGATTCTGCAGGAGAATTTATCACAGAGAACTTCAGAACTACAGGTAATATTAATATTTTTTCATTGATGGAGAGTGCAATAACTTTTCTAATTCCCTTTACTTAATTACTTGTTATTAATTTGTGATTTAGGAGCTTCAAAACAAGTGGAAAGAGACTGATTCTCAGAGAGANATTATTCATTAATCAATGGATCTACCTGAATTGTCCTACAGAGTGCTGACGCTGTTAAGCTCCAACAGATTGAAGGGAAATTTGCAAGTCTCGAAAAAGCCAATAATGATCTGCAGATGAGACTTGCGTTATCAGAAGCCAAGGTCGCGAAGCTAAATAGTGATCTGATGAACAAGTAAGTAGACTTATCAAACTAATCGTTGTCAACTAGATAATCTTCTATCTTCATTATTCAGAATGACGACTGTCTGGGATTACAAGAAGAGCATCACTGAAACCATCAATTATGTGACTGAAGCGATGGAAGACTGTCAGGGGTACAATGAGCATCTTACTTCTCAGTATAATCAAGTGGTGGTGAAGCTGTGCGCAGACAATGAAACTCTGAAGACTCAGGCAGAACGTCATGCGAAAGAGCAGGTCCAACATGGTAAAAACCAAAAAATTGATTCCCTGATAGATTGAATTGTTGCATGATTTTTTATCAGTTGAAAAAAATGAATTGATTTTATTGTTATATAAAAAAAAATATTCATCCTTTGATAGCTAAGGTAGTTCACCAGCTCTCCCAAAAAGAATCGGAACTTGTTGAAGTGAAATCAAAGTATCAGATCCTCCACGTTGAGATTGAGAGCTGCAAGAAGAAACTGCAGCGACTTGGGGAGGGCGAGAGATGTCTCCAAAAGAGCATCCTTGAGCTTGAAGCCACTGCTGGTGAAGAGAAAAGGAGATTGGAGTCGATGTATGCAGTTGAGACCGAGAAATTGAGTCAGCAAGGTCATCTCCATGAGATTGAGACACAGAAGTTCCTGAAGGAGATTGAAGAGCTGAAGGAGAAGTCTATGAATCTGCAGCATGAAAAGAACGATGTTGTTCGGTTGGTGGCTGAGAAGGAGGCGGAGATAAAGAGTTTTGAGCAGGCTGTCGATCATTACAAGTATGATTGAAATATTTCACAACTCGTCTGAACTTTTTGAAAAACTTTGATTGATTGTTAATGAGAACTTCTTATTGATATTTTTTTGTGTTTCAGAGTAAATGTAGAAGAATTAAAGACTGAACTGGCTGAGAAAACTGCTCGTTGTCAGCGTGCGGATGACGAGATGGTGAAGTGCGAGGGTGAAATGCTGGAGAAAAATAAACAGGTTGATATTTGATTAGATTCATGAATATTATCTTGATAGCTTAATGTGTTAACATGCATTGTATTCATGAATTTATTTTCCTTCTAGATCTCTCAACTTACACAACAACTTGAGACTATTCAACTCGACTTATCAAGGATGGCAGCTGCTTTAGCAAGTGTGGAGGAGGCCAAACGTGACTTAGAACGGGAGATTGCGATGAAAGAACTTCAGTCACAAGAGACACAGGCGAAGTGTGGTCAAGTGGAGACAGAATTGAGAAGACAACTGGCGATTCTGCAGGAGAATTTATCACAGAGAACTTCAGAACTACAGGTAATATTAATATTTTTTCATTGATGGAGAGTGCAATAACTTTTCTAATTACCTTTACTTAATTACTTGTTATTAATTTGTGATTTAGGAGCTTCAAAACAAGTGGAAAGAGACTGATTCTCAGAGAGAGTCTGTCTCAGCAGATTTATTAAAATCTAATCTCTTAGTTGAGGCCGTTCAAAAGGAAAATGTAGACATTAAACATGAATTAACTTTGATCAGTTCAACCAAAGAGGGCGAAGTGGAAATTCTTAAATATCAACTGGAGCATTTGAATAAGCAAATGGAAGAGAGACAACTAAAGTTCAACGCTGAGAGTCAGGTATATTCTACATAATTGACCAAAAGCTAATTGTGACTGTTAACTAACTGTGAATCTAGTCAATAACACCCACATTCCTTCTTTTCCAGGAAATGAAATTGAAATATGAAGAAATCGAAGTTAAATATCAAAATGAGATGGCAGCTAACAAGCAAAACTGTGAGAACTTTACAGCAGAATTGATTAATTTTAATACAAAGCTCCAACAACTGCAGGAACTCAATAAGCAATATCTCGAAGATAAAGAAAAATTCAATGAACAGTTCAACTCATCAGAAGAGAAGTTGAAAAACATCACAAAATCAAATGCACAACTGAAAGAGACGCTCCAGGTAGCCAATAAGAATCTAAAATTATCTGAACAAACAATCGAGGACTTGAACCAGAAGAATCAACAATTAGAAATAAAGAACAAAGATCTGATGGAAATGGAGGAAAAACTGAAGACTGCTGAACAAAAGGCTGAGGAGTTCCAGCAGAAGTATTTCAACGAGAAGATTAGGAAAATGCAGAAGGAATTGGATGCACTGAGGCTTAAACACCACGAGACTAATGATCAGCGTTTCCTCACAAGAAGACAATCCTGCCAGAAGCACCAGGAGAATCTGCAGGCATCCGGAAACAGGGCCCACGAGTTTCAGCAGAAATACTGTGCTCTTCATGCACGACAAGAGAATGAGATACGTGTATTTGACAGGCAGCAGAGACTTCTCGAGGAGGCTAACAGGAAAGCTCAGGAATTCGAGTGGAAATTCAAGGAGCTCCAAGTTCAGAGGTTGAATTTCAACAGGAAGTTGTCTGCTGTCTGTTCAGATGAGGTGATCATGAATGTTTATTATTACTCCACTCAGTTCTCCAGTTTTGTTTATAAAAATATTGTCATGAGATTTCTTTTTTCTTCAGGCTTTCCCTCCGGAAGTAGTCGAGATGTCAGTACCTCAGACACTGGAGATATCGTCGATGAAGAGGGTATCATCTTCCTCAAAAATTTCTTCAATACCGATTTTTACGTTTCGGGTACCAGTGCCGCAGAAACCTCCACAGACTCCAGAGTCAAACAATGAAGAAACTGAACCCATGATAGAAGACCTACCTCGTAGTAGCTCATCTCCCGACAGTTTCGTAATGATTGTGGAAGATAGTTTTTAGTTGGATGACAGAAAAATATCGTCTAAATCATCGCAGGATGATTCACGACGAGCCAAGTCCGCAGGTACTCAGACAAAAACTGCCCGGAAATTCTTTAAAAGTAGAGAATTTCAACAGAAGTGACATTATCATGTCAAAAAACTTCATTTTCATGCTTTTCAACTAAAGACATATTTTTTTTAATTGTCACCTTCGTACTTTTTATTTAATGTATGACATATCTATTTATGGGCTCAACAGTTATGTTGATTTCACTTCGTATCAGTGAGTGAGTGGTGCTTTAACTCCACAAAGTACATAAGAAAAAAATCTGCAGGTCTGTAATTGTCAGGAAAATTCTGTCTAATTATCACAGGATAGTTTATGATCGGCTGGGGTGGCGGGTGTTCACATAAAGACTGCCAGGGAATTCTTCAAGAATAGAGAATCTCAACAGAAGTGACATTGTCAGGTCAAAGATCTTCCTTTTTGCTCTTTTCACATAAAAACATTGAGAGAAATGTCGTCATTTCGTATTTTTTCATTTAATCTGTGACAGATACAGTTGCAGATTTCAAAGTTATGTTTCTTTCATTTAGTATCGATAACTGAGTGGAATTTTGAGTACACATTTTCAACTATTTCTCTATTTGTTTAATAAATACTAGCTTAATCTCAGTACTAATACTTGTTCTGTATTAATAAAAGGGTTTATTGATTTTGAATGATGAGTACTAAATCATTGAAAAATGTTGATTTTTATAATGTAATGTTCATCAGCATGCTGTGTTCCATCGGCCATTGTGATTATATTTCCGTTAGAGAACTCTCCCAAAATTTCTATCATCTAATTCAATAGAGAATAGAATATGCATTTTTATTGGATGCAAGAAACACGCGTTCCATTTCATCCCTCTCATTGGTGAAATGTGCAAATTGCATTTTCCTCATGATTAATAAAGCAGCACCTCCCCCGGTTCGGCAAGAACAAAGAAGGTCAGTCGTGTTTGGGAACTCCGATCGAATCAATTGTCTTTGCCATAGTGATCATACGGAAAGAACAATGGAGGGAAGACGCAAGAACACTTCAGATCAGAAGATTCCGGAGGAAACCCCAAGTAAGAAGATGCCTCGAGGGAAAACCTCTTCACAGGAGAGTCGAGGGGATCCTTCCGCAAGCTCAATCGCAGAGAAATTAGTGAATATGTGGAAAACGAAAGCTCATTTCACTCCAGTATTCTCTCAAGAGGTAGGGACCGCCATTTTTTCGTTTGTTTCCACGCACGAAAATATTTGATAAAAAACCTAGTGAATTCAGTAGAAAATTCTATTGAACTTCTTTCGAACATTCTGTTAGTTCCAGGTCGATTCTATTGAATAAAAAATGTTTAATAAAAACTATTTTGTAGAAAAAATCAGTGGAATTTCATTTTTATGTACAATTTCATCGATAATTTCATTCTAATTCCTCGACATGAATTTTCCAAGATTTTTTCGCTCTATTTTTCTCCTCTTTTCATTGGACAAATCAAAGAAAAAAACTTCGAAAATTTGAAACGAGGAATTTCTATAGATAATATTTCAATATAATGAGTTATACAGAAAAATTGAATTCTATTGAGTTTTCTATAAATTTTAAAAATACAATATTATAGAATAGAGCAGGAAAAAAACTCATAAAAAGTTTTGTAGATATTCTGTCGAATTTTCCGGCGAATACCCTAGGTTTTTCAATGAAATTTTTTGATACGTGTCAATTCTGTGTTCTGTTTTCAATTACTGGTTTCAATGAAGACCCATGAATCCAGAAATTTGAAATGAATGAAGTTATTGAATTATCAACTAATTCATCAATCGTTGGGAATTATTCTTCAGAGTTCTGAGGTTGTTAAGATCAAGCAGATCGAAGATAAATGTGCTTCTCTGGAACAAGCCAACAATAAACTGCAGATCAACCTCGCGTCATCAGAAGCAAAGACCGCGAAACTAACCGTTGATTTAATGAATCAAACTCGCCAACAGCAGCATCTGTTGAGCAAGTACGTAGAGAAACGAATAGAACTGATTCTTGTCAAGTGGATCATCTTCTTTTGTTTGTATTATTCCACGCACCAATAAATTTTATAGAAAAACCTAGCAAGTTCGATAGTAAATTTTTTTGAAGTTCTGTTGAAAATTCGATGAGTTAGGTCGATTTTGTTTAAAAATCCCGAAGCTTTACCATGTGTTTTTTTTATAGAAAATGTCCAATAGAAACTATTCTATAGACAATCAATAAATTTTCATATTTCTATGGAATTTTTTCGATTGAGACATTTTCTATTAGAATTCCCCGAAATGCATTTTTCAAGTTTTTTCACTCAATTTTTCATTAGAAAAAAATCAAAGAAAAAAACGGAAAAATTGGTAAAATTTGGGCTGAATTATTGTAGAGAATATTTCAATAGAATGAATACAAAAAACATTCTGTTGATTTTTTCTGTAGGATATTTCTATTGAATATTTATATTAAAAATAAAACTGCTAGATAAGCTGTGGAATTTTTCAATAGAATCTGCCAAAAACTCATAGAAAATTCTATAGAAATTGAATAAAATGTTCTAATGAATTTGCTAGGTTTTCCTACAACATTTGTTTGCACATGTCAGAATGTGTAACAAATCTAAACAAACATTATCCATTTCAATTTCGTCTGTTTCTATTATTCAGAATGACTGTTGTTTGGGATTACATGAACAGGATCACTGATACCATAAATTACGTGACTGAAACAGCGGATGACTGCAAGGGTCATACTACACGTCTTACTTCTGAGTATAACGAAGTGATCGTGAAGCTTTATGCGGACAATGAGACTCTGAAGGCTCAGGCAGAACAATATGCAAAAGAGAGAAGTCAATATGGTAAAAATGAAAACTTGGATTCACTTATGTCACAATGCCGGCATTCTCTTTTGTTATTTGTAGAAATAGAAAAAAACGGGTCTGTTATTTTCCATAGAATTTTCATATTCACTAATATAAAAATCACTAATATAAAAATGCATGCGAAACCCTAATTCGCTCATCGACCTGTGAATTTAGGGGAAAATATAAAAAACAATTTTTGTGAGAAATTTTGTCAGCTAGAAAAAAAATTATTTACAATTTTGCTTCAACCCATCAAGTGATTTTAGTATTATATAATCAAATTACTTTATTCCTCGGCAGCTGAGGAACTCCAAAAGCTCTCTCAGAAAGAAACTGAACTAGTTGAATTGAAACCAAAGTATCATATCCTTCACGTTGAGGTCGAGAGCTACAAGAAGAAACTGCAGGAACTAGGGGAGGGCGAGAGACATCTCCAAAAGAGAATCGTTGAGCTGGAAGCCACTGTTGGTGAAGAAAAAAGGAGATTGGAGTTAATGTGCGCAGCTGAGACCGAAAAATTGAATCAGCAACGTCATCTCCATGAGATTGAGACACAGAAGTTCCTGAAGGAGATTGAAGGGCTGAAGGAGAAGTCTAAGAATCTACAGCATGAAAAGAACGATGTCTTTCGGTTGTTGGCTGAGAAGGAGGCGGAGATAAAGAGTTTCGAGCAGGCTGTCGATCACTACAAGTATGATTGAAATATTTCACAACTCGTCTGAACTTTTTGAAAAACTTTGATTGATTGTTAATGAGAACTTCTTATCGAGATTTTTTTTGTGTTTCAGAGCAAATGTAGAAGAATTAAAGACTGAACTGGCTGAGAAAACTACTCGTTGTCAGCGTGCGAATGATGAGATGGTGAAGTGCGAGGGTGAAATGCTGGAGAAAAATAAACAGGTTGATATTTGAATAGATTCATGAATATTATCTTGATAGCTTAATGTGCTAATATGCATTGTATTCATGATTTTATTTTCTTTCTAGATCTCTCAACTTACACAACAACTCGAGACTGTTCAACTCGACTTATCAAGGAAGGCAGCTGTTTTAGCAAGTGTGGAGGAGGCTAAATGTGACTTAGAACAGGAGATTGTGAAGAAAGAACTTCAGTCACAAGAGACACAGGCGAAGTGTGGTCAAGTAGAGACAGAATTGAGAAGACAACTGGTGATTCTGCAGGAGAATTTGTCACAGAGAACTTCAGAACTACAGGTAATATTAATATTTTTTCATTGATTGATAGAGAGTGCAATAACTTTTCTAATTCCCTTTACTTAATTACTTGTTATTAATTTGTGATTTAGGAGCTTCAAAACAAGTGGAAAGCGGCTGATTCTCAGAGAGAGTCTATCTCAGTAGATTTGTTAAAATCTAATCTCTTACTTGAAGCAGTTCAAAAGGAAAATGTAGACATTAAATATAAATTAACTTTGATTAGTTCAACCAAAGAAGGCGAAGTGGGAGATCTTAAATATCAACTGGAGCATTTGAATAAGGAAATGGAGGAAAGACAACTACAGTTCATGGCTGAGAGTCAGGTATGCTCTACATAAAGATGATTAATTGCTCAAAAGCTAATTGTTACTGTTAAATAACTGTGAATCTAGTCAATAACATCCACATTCCTTCTTTTCCAGGGAATGAAATTAAAATATGAAGAAATAGAAGTTAAATATCAAAATGAGATGGCAGCTAACAAGCGAAACTGTGAGAACTTTACAGCAGAATTGACTAATTTGAATTCAAAACTCGAAGAACTGCAGGAGCTAAATAAGGAGCATCTCGGTGAGAAGGAAAAGCTCAACAAACAAATCAACTCATCAGAACAGAAATTGAAGAGAATTACGAAATCAGACGCGCAACTGAAAGACAAGCTCCAGGCAGCCAATGAGAATCTAAAATCATCTGAACAAATAATCCAGGACTTGAACCAGAAGAATCAGCAATTAGAAACCAAGAACAAAGAGCTGATGAAAATGGAGAAGAAACTGAAGACCGCTGAACAAAGGGCTGAGGAGTTGCAGCAGAAGTACTTCGATGCGGATGTTGATTTCAACGAGAAGATCCGGAAAATGCAGAAGGAATTGGATGCAGCCAAGGTCAAGCTCCAAGAGGCTAACGATCAGCGTTTCCTCACAAGAAGCGAATCCTTTCAGAAGCACCAGAAGAATCTGGAGGCATCTGAAAAGAGGGCTCAGGAGTTCGAGCAGAAATTCTATGCTTTGCAAGAGACCGAGAAGCAGAGATTCGAGAAGCAGCAGAGGCTCTTCGAGGAGGCCTCCATGAGAGCCCAGGAATTCGAGGAGAAAGCCAGGAAGCTTGAAGCCCAGGGCTTGGAGTTCGATAGAAAGCTGGCTAGTTTTGAGCACTCACTTCAGAATCCACAGGTGTTGTCCCCTGTTTCTTGGGGGAGTGCCCACACCACTAAAAAAGTTGTTATTCGTTCAGATGAGGTGAGCATCAATATTTCTTACTACTAGAACAGGGTGAAAATGGGACACAAATTTTTAATTCCGGCGCACTCTCTGTTTTGATAATTTTCAAAAAACTATTTTGGTGGCACAGGCAAGACTTGTTTGAGAACTTTGTCGTTTTGCTCTCAGTGTACATAAAAAAATATACATAGACATCATATTACATTACTTGATAAGCAGAAGAGGCTTCAAAAATCGTTGCACTGGATTTTTTTAAAGTCGATCCATTCTGATCTCAAATTTTATGTGCAAAAATGTTGGCATGAGATTATTTTTTTCCCTCAGACTTTTCCACCAGGAACATTCGAGCAGATGCTGCCACCCCAAACACCAAGGACCCCCAAACTACCAGTGAAATCGATCCTGAAGGCTTCAACGACACCATCGAGACCGAAGGTACCATCGTCCCCCAGAGTTTCTCCTGTGCCAGCTCGCAAGCCCCAGGCGTCACAGCCTCAGAAACCCCCGCAGACTCCAAAGTCAACTGCAGAGACGACTGATCTCACAACTAATGAACCACCGCGTAGCTCATCCCCCGACAGTTCTGCGATGATTGTCGATGATGAGTTTGATAGGAGTATGCAGAAAATACTGGCTAATTTATCACAGGAAAGGGCACAAACCAAACGAACGGGTCTGGCGACGAAGAGCCCTAGGAAATTTTTCAAGAGCAGGGGATCTCAGCCAAAGTGAAGTTATTACGTTAATTAGCTTCTTAATTTACTTTGGATAGGAGACGCAATTCAGAGCAATATCAAACATTATGATTTTGAAAGACTTTCTTTTTATTTTGTTGAACAACTGGAGGGTTGATCAATGTGGTGCGGAGATTGATTAAGTGAGTAACATTTCGAGTACACAAAGAACTTCTAAAAATGATGGTGTGGAATTTTTTTTTATTAATATTGGATGAAGTGTTATAACTTGAGGGGTAATTGGAGGATTAGTTATAGTGATAGTTAACGAAGTTAGTAATGCTGAGGGTGCAAAGGGAATTTCTGAGATATTCTTCACTATTTTTATTCGACATTCCATAAGTAGGGGAGGTTGGAGTAACACGGACACTTTTGACTTTTTTTTAAATGTTAATGACAGGTTAAAATGTTAATGAAATTCAATTTTTTTTTCCATACAAAAAAATCCTAAATTAAGCTCAATTCATAAATTTGTTTCTGAGTTATGAATAATTTTTAAAAAAGTCTTAAGTGTTCATTTTGCCCCACCCTCCCCTAGTGTGTAACTTTAAAAGTAATTATGATGAATATTATTCAGCACTAATATTTGAAAATGAGAGATTTAATTATTATGACGTGGAGGTTGACAAAGCGAGTAACACTTCAAGTAAAAAATGTAATTTTAGAAAACTTCTGTTTCGTGATCTTCATTGAACATGCCACGAACAGTGCCATCGATTTAGAAATAATATACTTGAAAATACTAGGATTAATTATTATCATATGAAGATTGATGAAGTGAGAAATAGTTTGAGTACAAAACAAATTTCAGAAAAAGGATTTTCTTAATTTTCATCAAATGTGTGATAAATCGTGTAATTCCTCCATAAGTATGGTTTGTTTCATTTTGTATCAATAAAACGATTAATTAATTTTTTACTAATAATAAAATGTGATTTTTTACTCGTGTGAACTCCAAAAAAGGCGATTATCACGTGAACATGTTTATTGTGGAGGATTTGAGATTTTTCAAGGTTTTTCAATTGATTTCGTTCACCGTGTCATGCCGGCTGGCTGATTTTCTCAATTCCCCCGGCACAAGTATTCCTTTTGTTCAGTACGCTTTTTTCTGAATCATTTATTTTCAATTATTAATTTTTTTATTCAGCCATTGTTCATTGTAACCTGTGAAATTCAAATCATTTTTTTTTATTTTCCAACAGTCGTTCGGTTCTTACGAACCAATAAAAACCCTCCGCCAATCAGGGCCACTCAGAGCTCCCCCGGTCCCTCCATTTTTCGTCCGCCTAGTCACTTCGTTATTGTTCGCGACGGTGGCTGGACGTTCGGAGAGACATTTTCGACTTTGTGAGCTCCGAGGCTCAGAGTGTACTCGTCGAGGTCGGAATGCCCTTGTCGGGATTCCACGAAAGCTAAGAGTGATCGAATAGTGTTTACAATGAAGTGTTTGGGATTTGGAGATTTTTCGGATGAGACTCATGTGTCGTGATGTCCCAGACAGTGTTTCCTCATAATTTTTTAATGGTTTTCATTCGTTGTGTCCTGCCAAATAGTGGATTTTTCTCCATTCAATTATTTTTCCATTACTTAGATGTTCGAAATCGTGAATTATTGGGTAAACTTGAAGTCCCAGTGCTTATCAACATCAATTTTTTACTCGTGTCAACTCCAAAAAAGGTGATTATTGTGGAGGATTTAGGATTTTTCAAGGTTTTTTAGTCGATTTCGTTCACCGTGTCATGCCGGCCGGCCGACTTCTCAATTCCCCCGGCACAAGTATTCCTATTGTTCAACACGATTTTTCTTAATCATTTACTTTCATTTATTAATTTTTCTGTTCAGTGACTCTTTCGCGTAACCTATGAAAATCAAATCATTTTTTTTTTCATTTTCTAACAGTCGTTCGGGCCTCACGAACCAATAAAAACCCTCCGCCAATCACGGCCACCCACAGCCCCCCCGTTCCTTCCATTTTTCGTCCACCTAGCCACTCCGTTATTGTTCGCGACGGTGGCCGGACGCTCGGAGAGACATTTTCGACTCTGTGAGCTCCAAGGCTCAGAGTGTACTCGTCGGGGTCGGAATGCTTTCGTCCAGATTCCCCGAAAAGTGTGAGTGATCGAAAAGTGTTTACAGTTGAGTGAACCCAAAGTTTTTTCATGTGAGTCGAGATTTTTCGGAGCAAATTCATTTGTTGGGATCTCCCAGACACGTTTCCTCATTTTTTTGTGATTATTTTTCGAGAAACCTTTTTGTTGGCTTCAATCATCGTCTCCGAACATCGAATTGTCAAAAATGGGAAAAAATCGAGAATGTGGAGAGGACAACCTTGTCCTTTTCCTTTGTTCGAAATTGCCAACGGTTGTTTGCGCGAAAAATCGGCGCAGTAACTCCCTCCCCCCCCCGAACGATCCGCCCCCACCGTTCTTTGTCTGTTAGTTGACTTCAACGGTCATTCTGTCCTCGGTCGCGAAATCACTCGTCTCGCAGAGGCGTCTTTCGTGTCAATTCTCTCGGAAAAATATATAATACGTGCTTTATTTTACCGAATTTCTGATTATCATCAGGGGGGATAAATTCTGAAGTCCAAAAATGTGGTGACGTGGGATAAATAGAAAAGGAAATGTACACTGATAGAAAAGGTGGAAAGATTCAGTTGCACCAAACGAGGCTTCTTAACTGTTACCGCGATTCGTTAATAGTTAACGAATCGTGGTAACAGTTAAAAAGTCTCGTTTGATTCGACTAGTTCGTTCTATCAGTGTACCAGCGATCGGGAAAAAAAATTCCATTTTGATTTTTTTCGTTAAAAAAAATATTTTTTTGCGATATAATTTTTTATAATTTCATTGTAATGAGTGTGATAGTGAGTGTGAATTAGTGGAGAATAAGTGTTCAGTGTAATTTCCTACCGGCTTCGCGGGTGAAAATGTGCGCGGTAAAACCCTTCCCTCCAATCCGCCATTCTTCCCGCGTTTTTCTCCGTTGTGCGGCCGCCATCTTCATGTTGCATTAGAGTAGTGCCTTCCCAGAGGGCATAGTGAACTTGCGGGCATAATTCCTTTTCTGATCGACAATTCGAGTGCCAGGGATCTACGTTGATGAATAATATGTTTTTAATAGTGGAAAAGTGTTGAGATCTTGAGGTTTCTTGTTGAAATCACGGGATAAATCTCTAGTCGTGCCAATTCTCCCTTTCGTGTACTGAACAATTGATTGTGAGAATCAATTTTGACATTTAATTGTTATTTAAATACGGATGAAAATTGTTGTTGAGTTTCGAAAAAAAGTGTGCAATCGGTGAATTTTCGGAATGGGAAAATCGGGAATTGTGTTCGTGGAATATTTATTGTACACTGGTGTGTCTCAAATGTTGAATTGTGAATCTTCGATGATGAATCAGCAAGTTTGACGAGTTGACGAAAGATAATTATCTCATTTAAAAAAAGACTGTTGAGGGAAACACGAATTCTTTTTCTGTCTGGCGTGTGAGCATGTGATCACCTCAGTTATTTACATCAGGCTTTTCCTCGCGGAAGGACTCAGTTTTTGCCGGCCGGTCAGCTGTAAACGTCGCAGTTCAAGTCCCACATGAAGAGAAATTTTCATTTCAAGGTAATTATTATAAGTGGGAAGCTTTTATTCCCGATTTTCGTGTTGTTGTTTTACATCGTATGTTTTTTTTCTGTTTTATTCAGTGAGTACATTTTGCACATTCTTTTTCATTCAATTTTGATTGTATTCATTCTTTATATGCGAAGATGTTTGATGGGAAAAATAATTTTTTATTGTTACGAGGCAAGGGATTTTTTCTGAATGGTTATAGGATTAAGACAATCTTAAGACAATCGTTCAGAAAAAATCCATACCGTGAGCCATCCATATCCTTCCGTGTTGGTAGTGTCTTAAAGAACGATTTTACGTTCGAAATTAGATGTACGAATAAGGGCTATTGACATTATTCGATGAAATCAATAGAAATTTAAAAAAAAATTCGACAATGGAAATGGGTTGATTTTTAATGCAATCCCTCAACCAAAAATTGAAGTTTCAAAATTCATTTAATCGTTTGCTCATTATTCAATGATGAAAGGAATTTCAGCATTATTTATGTCATTAGTTGTTGAGATAATGAAATAATTATAATATTATATCAACAATTAAATTTCCATCGATTTGTTGATGATCCCGAAGTTTAGTGAATTTGCAGAAAAATGTTGAGATAATTTTATTAGAGCAGAAAATTATCTATGAAATTCGTCTTCTGACATATTTATCTTTACTCAATGATTGCCTCAATAATCATCCTGGGCAATCAACAACGCCGTGGCTATTCGCACTACCTCACGCAGCGTGTCGCACGCAGAAATTCATATAAGGCCCGAGTGCAGGAGCGGGTATCGAAATATAGTGCAGATGATTCTAAGAATGATTTTCCAACCAGGGGAGACTCCTAGAACCCATTGGACAATGCTGTAACAACTCTGGTTTTAAACTGTCCGTCTGATGATGTCTGTTTTCAATTGAAAAGCAGAGTTGTGACAATATTGTGCAGTGGGGTCTAGGAGTCTCCCCTGGTTCAAAACCATCTTTAGAGGAATCAGCATACCATTTTTCGAGCCGCTCTTTCATTTGAGCCCAAAAAAACATTCATATCTTGTCTGACATCTCTGCTACAAACTCTGGTTTTCAA